TTGAAGGATTATGCATCCTATGGAGGTGCGAAATAAAATAAAAATTTTCTTCATCTAAAGGGCCCAAGATTATGCCATTGAATCAACTAATCATATATTCATGTATTACGATGATGAATAGAGAATTTACCTCTTATAGTGTAGATATAAACATTTGTAGAAAAGAGTTGTCCAAGTGTCGGGCTTCTATTGATAATCCACACGGTCCATGCACCTACAAAAGAAGCATTCAAAATTAGTAGAGTGCTAGCTCCACCTTTTCCGACTTGTTTATTATTCCCTATAGAAATCCAATTAGGGTAATTTTATGACAATCTAAAGACGAGAGAAAGAGAAGAAAGGTGACGTGCTAGGGTTAGAAAGAAAATAATTTTCTCTTAGCTTTTGTTTTGTGTCATGTATCCCTATTATTTTACATGTGCTGAATTTTCTCTCTCTAAAAAACTTACCTTTTGTAGCACCTCTCCTCCTATTTATAGGTACGAGTTTCCTAGTCCTTACGGGACAAGGAGGAAAGGTGGCAACTAGTCCTTATTGGACTTTTGGTTGTTTCTTCCTAATCCTATAAGGACTAGGAGTTATTTAACATATGAATTTTTGATCTTTATCTATAAAAATTTCATCCTTATCCAATAAGGTTCATGTTTATCCTCCCACCAAAATATCTTTTAGGCTTTTAATTAAACCTATTGACCCAAAATCATTTTGGCCCAATTACTTAATGTAGACTATCCAAATAAATTAAGTTAGATAATTTTAAAAGGCCTACATTAGGAAACACTTTCCCAAAGTCCTTTGAACCTAAATTAGAAAAGTAATTTTCTTTTTAAGTTATTCATTCCAAATTTGGAACTAACTTTCAAATTAGGAAATTGATTTCTAAACTAAAAAACTTTCCATTTTAGAAAACTTTCATTTTAGGAAACTTTCTAATTTAGAAAACCTTTTTTCAAAATATGAAACTTTCATAATTGAAAACTTTTTTCAACATCTTTGCTCTCTTTAATTATGTGAATGCTTAAACTTATAAGTGTGACTCAATAGGCTCCTAGATGTGTTGGTAATGTATAAAGAATAAACGATATCTTTTTTATCTCTTGATACATAAGTCAAGATTGGCCTCTAGCAAGGCATCATAACTACCTAATTCTCTAGGATGATTAATTAATTCGTAATTACCTTTCACAAACATGGTTACCATACAATTCGGTCCTCATATCAACTTATCATAGTATGATCTCAAACTTGGTTATTAGTCTTGTTCGATCACAATCAAACAAGTTTTCTTCAATTTTCAAATGTCTTAGCTCTTAGATTAAACCAACTATGCTCCATTGGTGTACTCCTACTATGGCTATAAATTTCTTGAGTAGACATTTATCGAAGTGTAATATGATAACTTCTTTAGCGTAAAAAGAATAACATGTCCTATTTTTAGTCATTCACTTACCTCCATTAGATTCCTAGTATACCTAATAAACAGCTCATAAGTAACCCTTTACTAGGTCCATTGAACTCGGTGTCAAAGTACATAAATCCTTCATTGAGATAACCTTGATGACCTCGAGTCTAAGGACCAGGTTGTACCCATCTCGTATGAAATTCCCATAGACTAAACCAAATGGGTTCGATAACAAGTCAAGTCTAGTGATATATTCTCTAACATAAATCACCTAAGTGCTTGCTTTGGCATCATCATACTAATAGGTATGAGATCTCCTATTGCTATCATATACCATGAACATAACACTCACAAGTCTAACCGCATATAGTCAATGCCCATTCTTGACCACGCTAGACTTAAGACATTTAACGATATTATTTATATGCATTAGTATCCGTCTCACATCTTTCGATCAATCACTAATGCAAGTGCATATCATATGAACTTTTATTTAATTCTAATCAATGAATAAATGTAAATGACAAGAATTAGTGAAAAGACTTCTTTTATTATAAACAATATAAAAGATACAATAACATAATAAGTCAAACTCATCCAAATAAGATTGGATCTTAGGCACCTACACTAATAGTATCAAGAACACAAGATACCTCTTTTATCTCTTGATATATAAATTAAGATAAACCTTTAGTAAGGCGTCATAACTACCTAATTCTTTAAGAGAATTAATTAATCCATAATTACTTTTTACGAGCACGGTTACCATATAATTCAATTCTCATGTTGATTTATCTCAATGTGATCTTAAACTTGGTTTATAGTTTATTCGATTATGATCACATAAGTTTTTTTTATTTCTAAATATCTTAACTCTAGAGTAAACCAACTATGCTCTATTGGTATACTTCCACTACGGTTATAGATTTTTTGAGCATGAGTGTCAAAGTACATAAATCCTCTAATGAGATAAATATGATAACTTTAAGTCAAATGACTAATTGTACCCATATCGTATAAGATTTTCATAGACTAAATCAAATGCGTTCTCATGGTGAGTCACATCTAATAATATGTTCTCTAACATTAATCACCTAAGTGCTTGCTTTGGCATCACCATGTCAATAAGTGTGAGATCTCCTACTATTATCTTATAACATGAGTATAGCACTCATAAGTCTTATTGTATCTAGTTAATGTTCATTCTTAACAATGCTATAACTTGGGATATTTAATAATATCATTTAAGTGCATAAATAGTTCTCTCACATCTTTCTATTAATCATAATGTAATGTATACCATATGGACTTCTATCTAATTATATCAAAAATATAAATGACAAAAATTAATAAAAATATTTCTTTTATTAATAAAATAAGAATACAATATTACTAAAGTCAAATTATTCAAATAAGGTTAGAGCTTAGGCACCTACACTAACAATCTCCCACTTACGTTAGAACCAACCAGTCATGTCTCTTATACCCGACGAAGACTCGATACCAATTGAAGGATCATGCATCCTATAGAGGTATGGAATAAAACAAAAAAAAAATTTCCTCCATCTTAGGCTTTCAAGATCAATCCGTTGAATCAACTAATCATATATACATAATTAGAAACGTGAGTAAAATATTTACATCTTGTAGCACAAATTTAGCCTTTATAGAAAGGAGTCGCCCAAATGTCCAACCTTTATCGATAATCCACGTAGTAGCTTAATGAGGGATACGGTAACTCAAGCTTTCTAAATAAGCCACAAAATTCATAGAGTGCTAGCTCCAATCCTTTTATATAATTGATTTGCTTTCTAAAAAAATCAATTAGGTTTTTTACGACAACTCAAGCTTTTAATGAGGGATATGGCAACTCGGGATTTTTGGAAGAGAAAAGCTTTCTCTCTTTTTATTTCTCTTTTGCCATGTGTGTGTATCTTGTTGTATCTCTTGTTATCTTTTCCTTGATGCCCCTCTCTCAATTATTTATATAGGGGTAGCATCTTGATCCTCTAAGGACAAAGAGTTGCAATATGTATGGGCTTGTTTGATTTTATCCTTGGAAACCCTAAGCCTTGTCCAATAAGGCTCCAGTTCATCCTCCCATTAAAATATCTTGTAAGCTTTTAAATTAAGCCTATTGGCTCATTTTGCAAACTTCATATCAATCCACCGATGATGAAAAAAAAAATCTTGAATAGTAATCGTTTCTTTTATTTGGTAAGGGGCAAACACATGCACTTGTGGATCGTAGATAACTAACTATCCAAATGTGTAAGAGCTGAGTGCAACACCTCAAGGTTCTAGTTTTATTTTTTTTTTCGATATAGTTGAAGTTTTAGATGGTTTTTACAATTATTACGGATATCGGATTAGCATTTTGGATTTCCATTTGGACAAAAACATTTAAAACTTCACAATTGATGAATTTAGTGTAGGCGAGAGAATAAGACTAAATAAAAAATTCCTAATGCTAGGATCCTGAAGCATCCCACATTTGAGTCTTGGTTACTCACTTTTTTGTTGTATTTTGACTTCTATTGAGACAATAACCATTCTTTACGTTCCCCTCATACATTTAGCTTGAGTTTAGTAGCCTTCAAACCTAGCTATGCTTCCAATCAATGTAGTGCCTCCTCACTTGGATAATAGTTGTAATTTTGGTATAATGACTACAGAAACTCTAGCAGAGCTTGATGCCCTTTAATGGTCGTTTGCACCAAATGTGAATCATTGGTAATTCATGTTCCAATAAGGGACCATTATTCTAATAGCATCATCTTGAATTGGCACCTTGAGTAGATCTGCCATTCTCCCAATAACGATCTTTAAAAGATTTTTTATTTTTTATGCTCAATCTCTCAAAAGCATGGTATAGGTGAGACACATCACTGGTGTTTCTAGAAATTCTATGTTGAAGGCAGAGTGGCCTCTAAATTCAGACAATCCCACTCATGACGTAAGAAAGTTTCAGAAGCAACAAGAAAAATCCACAATGGGCATTTCTGTCAAATACATCTATAAAATATTTTTAAACTTAAAAATAAAAATAAAAAACTCACATGAAATTAAATACAATAAAAAACATATTAAACCTTTTTCAAAAAATAAAATTAATATGGATTGATTTTGATTTCATTCACGTAGATTTTAAAATTTATTAAAATTGATTTTACAAGATTACTTGCTGCCACATGTAATTAAAGTTGTCATGAGCTTATAAATAAATCAATAAAAATTTGGCCCATCACTAGTCATGAACAATGTAAAAAATATATCGGTAATTAAGAAAATATGTTTAATTTATTTTTTTCTTTCCGTATTCAAACATTGAAGCCAACATCCAAAAAGACCAACGCAAATAACATGTTTTCAAGATGGTGTAGGGAAATAATTTAATCTTGATTGGCGTGCATAATAGTTCAAGAACATTCGTGAATGAGGAAAAAAAAAAAACCATAACTCTGATTACTGAATCTAATCCAATCCAAATAGCCTTGTTTTCTATCTCAAGGCACTCCCGCACAATCAACCAGCAAATGGTACTCAGAATTTTTATTCGCAATTCACAACTTATGATCAGGTAGTAAAATATCTCTTACTAAGCCTTCACTTCTTGCACTGGCACTGTACCAAAGCGAGTAAAATAGGTTTGAGATTCAGGGCTCAGACAGATATTCAGCAGATTCGCCTGCAAATTGTGATCCCATCACCCAGTGGAGCATGTGAGATTTGGACACGAGAGTCAGCTGCAAGCAATCTGTTAAATTCAATCGTAAGTTGTCTGCTTACTCTCATATCCTCCGGAGCAGACTCTTCTGGCATTGCAACCGTCCCTCCCCACAGTGTGTTGTCATAGACAACTATTCCACCCACCTTCAGCAATTTCATTAGCTTCTCATGGTAGTTCCAGTAATTCACTTTGTCAGCATCAACAAAAGCAAAATCAAAACTGCCTTCATTTCCATGCTGCAACGAATTCCATAAACAAAAATCTTATTACAAAAAGGAAAAATGATGTTAATTGAATGAATGATAGAGGATAGAAAAGATAGACAAAAATTGGGCAACATGTATTTCAAGTCCCTAAGATTCAGTTTGGCTTGGTATTTATCCTCCTAATTAAAAACCAACACAAAATCCCTTCATACTCGCATGTTTTCAGTCTTCATTTAAATGTACCTCATAAAAACACTTGCGTTGGTTTCAAAAGCAAGAATAAAAATTAAACTAAAATCTCAAGGGCTTGAATCCTTACATCTTTTAATAGCTTGTCAAGAATCGGTTGAGCTTCTGATTCGATGAAGTTAATTTTGTGTTCAACACCAGCTTTTCTTATAATTGGTAATCCTATTTCGTAGGCCTCACGATTCACATCTATGGCTGTTATCTGCAGCAACGATAATCGATTATTGGTAGTTCTTAGCAAACACAAAACAATATATAATATAAGATGATGGGGGAAATTATATATATACATTCTTGATCAACTTCAAATTAAATGTTGTGCTAATAACCTTGTCGGGCATATGCTTACATTACTCTTGATAAAGTATTTGTTACCTTTCCATTCTCAGGAATCGAAAGAGCAGTGAGGAGAAGGGAGTATCCTGTGAAAACTCCCACTTCAATTGTTTTCTGAGCATTTACTAACTTCAAGAGCATTGCCATCAACTGACCAGCATCTGGTGCGGTAGCCATCATGGCCCTAGAGAATAACAAGAAGCTCATTATCTTCAAAGCGTCAACAAAAAACTATACATGTAAAAGGCATATTACTAGTGGATTTCTAGCGAACAAGTTGATTTATTCTTTGGTTACCTTGGATGGGTAGCAGTAAGCATCCTTAGCTCCCTGAGAGGTTCTGGTTCATGCGGATACACACTAGTCTCCAGGATATACTGTTACAAAAAAAAAAATTAAGCTAAGCTAAAGCTAGACCCAGACCTAGACCATGACATACATAAGGAATAGGAATGAATAGTACGTAGATGGTGGAAACAAAATGAAGGCAAACGAAATCGAAGATCATTATACCTGATACAATTCTTCACTCTGCAGCAACCCCTTTGAAGCAGTAATTACTTTTTTCGAGTCCTCCATTGCAACTGAAACCTGCTTCAAACGCTAGCTAGTTAGCTAGCCACGGACTTTAATTGCCTCAAATCAAATAAAGCTGCTAAGCTGTTCGAAAATTATAGTCCTATGTATTACGTTGGTACAATTCTTCTCCCAGTAAAAACGATAGAGAAATATTAACCACTACATTCAACAGAATTGATTCATATTTCTGGAAACCAAAGAGCACTGTTACTAGATATTTCAAATGAACGTCATTTGTTAATTTATGACTCAAATTATCAGTCATAATTCAACAACAGAATATTGATGGCATGACATATATTCGAATTAAAGGTGACATCCTATGCCAAGGAAAAAAATTATATTTGGCGGTTAGGGTTTGGAAAAAAAAATTAAAAAGAATGGAACTCAGTTTGTTTGCTAGGACTATCTGGTGCCTCTCGCTTAAAAGTGATTCTTTGTGGGTTGCTTTGTGTTACAAAAAATTATTGAAGGGTAAAAGTATTTGGGAGCTCAAAAATCCAAATGATTGTAGTTGGAATTGGAAGAAAATTCTGAAGCTAATGGGTCTCATTTGGGATCAAGTGGAGCACAAGATCATGGGGATTGGTAGAAATACATCATTTGTTTGGCATGGATACGGTGAAGAGACAGAGATGGTACCTGGCCTGGGTACTGGCGTTGACTTGGTAGATAATAGCGACCCTGCTCTTCAGGAGAAGAAGATGAGCTGGCGACGTTTCTAAGGGTTTGGCAGCTTATGAAAAGAGATGCAGTTTTCGGTGTACTTATATGCTTCCACGTTACTATTATTATTACTATTTTTATAAAAAGATAATATGTAAAATTTACTACTTTAATTTATATTTTTTTTAAATTTTTTATCTTTTTTCAATTTCAAACCTTAACTTCTTAATTATTTTTATTATTTAAAATTTACTATTTTAATTTATTTTTTTTAATTTTTTTTTTAATTTCAAACGTTAATTATATTGTGATTTTGGTCCTATTTTTTAATATTTTTTATTAATTATTTTTATCATTTAAAATTAATTTTTTTAATTTGTCATTTTTTTAAATTCTCATTTAATTAATTTAAAATTATATTTATTGACAGTTTTGATTTATTTTTCTATATATATATCGATTTTGGAATAAACTTTTAGAATATGATCATTTTTTCTTTTGAAAAATAGATTTAGATTATTTTTAAATTATAGTGGTATAATTAATATATATAATTTGTCTAAAATATATATTTTTAGATTAAAAGTATATTTTAAATAATTTTTTCTTAGTTTTTTATATTATTTAAAATTTACTACATTAATTTGTCATTTTTTTAAATTCTCTTCTTTTTTTTCAATTTCAAACTTTGATTATATTGTGATTTTGTCCCATTTTTTTTTTAGTATTTTTTTAATTATTTTTATTATTTAAAATTTACTACTTTAATTTATCATTTTTTTTTAAATTCTCATCCAATTAATTTAAAATTATATTTATCGAGAGTTTTGATTTATATTTCTATACGTATGGATTTTGGAATAAATTTTTAGAACATGATTTTTTTTTTTTGAAAAATAGATTTACATACTTTTTAAATTATAGTATCATGATTAATATATATAATTTGTCCGAAATACATTTTTAGATTAAAAGTGTTTTTCAAATAATTTTTTCTCAATTTTTTTATTATTTAAAATTTACTACGGTAATATTTTATTTTTTAAAACTTTTTTTTTCAATTTCAAACTTTGATTATATTGTGATTTGATCCTGTTTTGTTTTAGTGTTTTTTATTAATTATTTTTATTAATTAAAATTTACTACTTTAATTTGTCATTTTTTTAAATTCTCATCCAATTAATTTAAAATTATACTTACTAACAGTTTTGATTTATTTTTTTATACGTATGGATTTTGGAATAAATTTTTAGAACATGATTATTTTTCTTTTGAAAAATAGATTTAGATAACTTTTAAACTATAGTGGCATGATTAATATATATATATATATATAATTTGTCTAAAATACATTTTTAGATTAAAATTATATTTCAAATAATTATAGTGGCATGATTAATAATTTTTTATATAAAAAAACTTAAATTAATTAATTAATAGTTGAAAGTCAAATGTGAAAAATAAAAAGAAGATGGTTGCTCCGTGTGTGAGACCTATATTCAAGGACTAGCCATGCATAGCACGTAAATAAAAAAATATTTAAGAAGGAGAAAAAATAAGAAAAAAAGTATTCACATGTTTTATTAATTTTTTTCTTCTTTATATAATCAAAATTAATCGAAATCAAATTTGTAATAATTTTTATTTTAGTCTATTAACTTCAAATTTAGTCAATAAATTCCTTGCAAGTTAACTTTTTTTTATAATATTTTTGTTTTAGACTGAAAACTCTAAACTCACTTAGTATAGTTATAATGCATAAAAAAATATTGAATCGTTGTTTTTATAGAAATTAATTGTGCAACTACTACTACACTAAGCATTTACTATTTATTTATTTGCTTTTGAATATTTTAAAATTAACTTATTTTAAATTAAATAATTAAAATAATGTTTTGGCTTAACCACTCAATGATTCAAATTAATATAGTTTTTTATTTTAATGTTATTCATTCTTTTGTAAATAAATATATAAAAACTAAATTCATATTTTTCAAAAACTGATATTCTCATCAACATTAAATAAAAATTTATTTGTTCAATTCTATATAAGCTTTTAATAATTGTTATTTATATTTTTTGACATAATCTTATGAAACACTAAAGTTTTTTTTAAAAAATTATTTAATTTTATTTTTAGTTAATAATCCATGGATTAACAAGGATGAATCCTTTTTTTTTAAAGAAAAAATTATGATAACACAAATAAGAAATAGTTAAATATAAAATTTTTTATTTTTACACCTTTGATTACATATATTTTTATAGATTCATGACATAAAATAAACTATCAAACTGAAATAATTTTGTAAAATGATTTAATATATTTTATCAAACCCACAACGTAAGCACGGATAAAAAACTAATATTATAAAAAAAAAAAAAAAACTAAAGGAAATGAGAATTTTACTGTTCATTTACTGTATACATAGACTCAAATTACTGTAGCTCATGACTCATTCCTCTTGTTCATGCATTTCAGAGTTTATCTCTGTCGTCCAGCTCTTCTTCCAACTAACTCACTTCTCATCTCAACCCTTTGATTTTCTTTCTATTATTAATAAATAATAAAAAGTTGCTTTTTAATTCATTTCTCAGCCCTCTTATTTCAAATATTTATGCATTTTGCCATTGAGTGCATTTATGCAATATCATTTTTGCCCTTTCTGTTTAAGAAACAAAATTAATTAACCGGGTTTATTTGTAATTTTAACACTCCTCATTAATCTCAACCCTTTATTTTTAACCTAGAAATCCTAGCCTTCCATTGATCCTATATATTGAAAAAAAATTTCTCTGAGCCGCCTCCAGTTTCTGCTCTTTTCTTGCCAAAAATATCAAGAAATAGAGTATGAGGTCACTCTCAATTGCCTTAATCTTTAGCTCTTTTTCTCACCAAAAAAAAAAAAAATCGAAAGAAAAAAAAATGTAAGACCATTTAAGATTTAATTTTTTTTTCTACAGCTCATCTTTCTACGATCCATAAATATTTTTTTTCTGATTTTTTCTCCAAATCTTGCAGCCTGCTTTAGAATAGAAAAGAATTGTTTCGGGGAGTACTGGGTTTGATTTGGGAGAAGTGGCTAGTGAGTGTTTGAAGAAGAATGTTGAGTATGGGGTTGAAAAAGATAGTGTGGAATATGATTATTTGAAGATTCAATTGGGTTTGATAAGACTGCAATTGATGATGTGGATAAGCTTCATCTTTCACATGAGTGCTTGCCCATGGTTTACGACAAGTTCCTAATGGATGGTGGTTTGGTAGATATATGGAAGAAAATGGAAAGGTTCATGGGAGGAAGAGGAAAAAAGGGTTGAGATTCAGGCAACAAAATGTTGATTCAGATATTGGCATAGATTGCATGGTTGAAGGTGCTTATGATCAAAAGAGGAAAAGAAAATCACCAGTAAAAGATATTGATTGGGAGGATTTTATCATGGAGACCCCTCTCCTTCATCAGGTGGAAGAGGAGGAAACATAGAAAGGGTACTACAATACCTTGTTGAAATTGCATGTTTTCAATTCCTGTACTGTTTAAGAGATTACAAATAATAAGAAAATTATTGATAAAAGATATTGATTCTCAAATAATTTTTTAATTTTTTTCTTTTGTTTTAATATTTAAGAATTCAGAATTAATTATATTTTCATTTGTTTTTTTTTTTTTTTTTTTTACAGATGGCAAACATAAAGAACATGGAAAAAGTCTAGGAGAAGAAGTGTGTGATTTCTATTGTGTGTGATTTCGATAAAAGATTGATGTTTTCTGTTATATTTTGTGTTATTTGATGTGTTTGGTGTTTATTTAGTATGTTGCTACAAGTTTTCTTAAGATCTTCATTTATTTTTAATTATTTCATATTATTGTTTTTGTAAATGAGCACAGATTCAAGTAGTCTAAAAAAATCTTAGGAAGTCAAGCTGCAAATGCCAATCAAGTAGAAAAAAGGTAAAAATATATATATATATTCATTTTAGGGTATTAATTCATTTTTTCAATGAAAAGAAAGAAAAGTTTTTCTATGCCAATTTCAATATTCCATTCAACAGATTTTTGAAATGCTTCATTTGGTTTATTAGATTGCTCTTGATCATAAGGAATATTCATCAGATTGTTAAAGTTAGCGGCAGCAAGCAACTATGGTGGGTTTGCAAGTATACTAAGGTTAGTTCTTGGTCTGTGGGTGACAAGATTGATTCTTTTTTGGATAAGCTTTTTTTTTTAATGAGTATTCCAAAAATTCTTGATTTTTGTTATTGGTTCTCCATGGAAGATGTTGTGCTATTGTAGACCACTTGCTCTTTTAGTTATATAATATAATACTAGTGGGGTACCTGTGCTACACTACGGTACCCATTTTATACAGATGATCAAATATGTTCCCACAACATACTGCAGGTGAAGCACCATTATATGTTTCATACATTTGATATTTTTATTTTAGATAGTTTTGACACAGGTGAATTATGTTCATAAGAAATTAGTTTAAATTTATTTGCTCGATCATGTTTTGCCTATACATTGTGCTTTAGCCTGTGTTAATCTTTGTAATAAGTGAAAGAGAGATTTATTTAGCAATGATCATTGGATGGTTATGTTCAAAATGTATATATACGATTGCAGGAAGGCTAGTGCTGGAACAAAGCACTTATGTACATAATATATGCATAATAAACCTGGATCAAATGTTAAGAATGCTTGAAACAATCTTAAAAGAGAACTAAGTACCTTTTTTTTTTTTTTTAAAAGCAAAAATCTTGACCATTGTTTGCAAAAGGACATGAGCTTTTTAGTTTTTATTTAAATCCAAAACAGCAGAATACTTGTTCCAAGTGCTACAGAACCCTCCACCCTAAAAAAAAAAAAAAAAAAAAACACCCTTTGGATAGTCTCATTATAGCATCAATCATAATATACTTGTTCCAAAAATTATGGAATGTCTTCAGCTCTTGTTGATGCTTGGATTGCACCTCTTTACAAAGTAAATGAAGCAACACCTATTGAATATAGAATATGCTGAAAACAACAACTAAGCCCATTGGTAAACATTCCTATGTAAGATCATACCCATGCATTTATACAAAAGTGGTAAATTGTGGGTCTTTAAACGGTGCATGTGGTTTTCATTCTAATTTGGATTCACCATCAAGTCATCAATCTGTAATTTGTTCATATAATTTTTTTTAATAATTTTTTCGCATAATGAAAGACCCAAGATAACACAACTCGGTCATATCACATAGTAAAAGTATTTGAATTAGTAAACTTCGGTTTACTATAATATTTGTTTCAATCATTTCAATGTTTGTAATAAACACTAGAAGAGAAAACGGATAAATTTTTTTTTTATAGATATTTTCTACCCGATATAATGATTATAACATATAAGTATTCACATTTGCTATCTTGATATGATATCAAATCAGATGAGTATCTTTGAAACTCAACAAATTTCTATAAGACTTTGAAGAGAATAGTATATCATTCATAATAAATTTATCCTTTCGGATAATAACATATTTGCTCTTCTAGAGCCTTTAAATTAGTCACTTCAAGTAATAATATATCGACTCTTCTAGAGCCTTTAAACATTTTCTCTTCAAGTAATAATTTATTCACTCTTCTAGAGTTTCAAAAATTTGTCTCTTCAAGTTATGATATAATCGCTCTTCTAAAGCCTTCAAAATCTATCTCTTTAGATAATAATATAGTCGCTCTCCTAGAGCTTTCTATTAGATTGATATTATCATATATAATATTAACATAAAATGAATAATCAAATAAATCAATAGAAAATAAATAAATCAATATATTCATCAATAAATAAATAGTAAAATAAATTTGTAACCATCAATAGACTACATAAATTATAAGAAATATAAAACATTTTATTTATAAATAGAAAAACTAACAAATAATTAATTTCAATTACTATTACTTTGATATATAAAATTAGCCTATATATATATATATATATATATATTTTTTCAACGAGCTTTGACAAGGTTTGATGAGGTGCTTTGGTGTACGACAGGTACACGATTAATGTCCATTCATACCATATTTATAACATTCATCTTCGGAATGTTGACTTTATCTATTTTCATTCTTTTCTTTTTCTTTTTCATAGTTATCCACTTCGGTGGTAAGATGTAATATTATAGTCATTACAATTATAATGATAATTATTTTGACAACATCCATGGCTATGACTACATCTTCATCCGTGCCTAAAATTATTATAAATTGTTACATTCACTTCAAGGAATGGAATAGATCCAATTGGATGAGATTTATTCTTTTTCATCAATAGCTTTTCATTTTATTTAGCCATGAGCAAATATTAAATCAATTCAGAATATTTCTTAAACTCTTTTCTTGATGTACTACTCGTATGAGCATATTTGAGGCATGAAAAGTAGATGATATTAACTTAGCATCAAGCACTCATGATCAATAATTCTTGCCCAAAATGTCAAGGGCCACAAAATCAAGTTTTGTGATGGTTGATAAGATATCATTAAAATTATATATTGCAAAGTATAATAATAATGTTAGAAAATAAAGACAAAATAAAATAATAAAATTTAAATAAAAATAAATATAATAATAAAATTTGAACTTTTCAAATAATATATATTAAATTATTAGATTTTATATATTAAATTATTTAAAATTTTTAAATGTATATTCTATGTATCATTAAATTTAAAATACATAGTAAATTAGATACATACCTCTTAATGATTTAAATAATAATTTAGATCCAATCGGTAGAGCACTTGTGCGTAAGAAATCCAATGGTTGAAACAATTGATTAAGTGTTTTGGTAGATACATACCTCGTGGTCTATTATCTCGATTGGTTAGAATTTCGTGCTGATAATGTGTTATAAAATAAATACAAATAATAAGAGAATTGAAGAAAAGGATGACAAGAAAATGAAATCACTATAATGTGAATATAAGTGATAAGAACTTCAAAGTTTCTCTTATTCTCTCTAAGAAACTTAAACACCAACTAATGAATAATCAAGCCTATTTATAGGCTTCAAAATTGAGGAGAGACTTGGAAGGGATTATGAATAATCAATTGCATCACCCTTTCAATTTCTCATATTGAATGATTAATTGAATCATATTAAGAATCATGAGTAGCGAGGATATGAAAAGTGGATGAACGTGATGATAGACATTCATTATTTCATAACAATTCTTTAATTATACGTTTTCATCTATTTTTTTTAAATGAACAATATCACTTGCTCATTAATGCAATAAATTACATGAAAAGATATTAAATTTAATTAGTGTGATATTATAAGGGAAAAAATCATTAAAAGTCACTTAAATAAACATATACAAGTAAAGACTTACAAAAGTTATTAAAACTTTTCTTGTTGGAACATGTTTTTCAAATTTGAAAGTGGAATTTTGATTTTCCAAATTCACCGAATGAACATAGTTTCTACATCCTCCGTATAAAATGAAAGTTGAAAAAAAAAACCCTACAATTAAAAAATAAAAAACTATTCTCTCTACAACTAGACGAGTCCTCGAGTGGTAATCGATATTAATGGTCATTTATTGAATTAGCAATATAAAATGTGTCTCTCTTGCCATGCGTGTAACTAAAAAAGAAAAAAAAGGAGAATAGCTTGAAAAATCCTCTAAAAATATTTTATATTTAAAAAATTCATCAATTTATTTTTAAATCTCTCAAACTCTATATAATATTTTTCTTATCAAATAATTAATCCGCAACTTAACATTAGTTAATTATTGGATGTTTTGGTAAGAAAAATATTGTTTGTGATTTAAGAGATTGGAAAATAAATCTCTCAAACTCTAAATAATTAACCCCTTATCTAGATAGAGATTTTAGAAAAAAGATTTTTATTAGAGTTTTTTTTTTAATAATTATCTCATTTCATACTTTTTGATGAGTTTATACTAAATTTTATTATTTATTATTATTTTAATAATGATCAAGTTCAAATACCTTTTGACTACAGAGAGAGAGAGAGAGAGAGAGAGAGAGAGAGAGAGAGAGAGAGAGAGAGAGAGAGAGAGAGAGAGAGTTTCCTCAATTTCTTTGATTGTCGACACACTCACCTTCAACTATTATTTTCTTGCTTATTACACTAAAATTTCTTATGTAAGAGTTTTTCTTTTTGTCGATTGTTGGTTATATCAACTAAGAAATTAGTTATATTACCTAGTAGCTATAGGAAGAGCTAATGCAATTCAATTAATTAATATTGATAAAATGGACTCATGTTATCCTCTTATAATTTAATCCATGAGATATCATACATATAAGAAAATGAAGAATATGTATGATTATGAATATTAGTGATCCGGTAAATATTGATAAAAAAAACACCATCAATAGTACTAGTATTTAATTAATTCAAACTTGACACTTTTTATCAAGTAATTAAATTAAATTACGTGATGAATGTATAATATATCTTGAAATACATATCTTGAAACACAATGATTTTCATTTACATTAGTGACAACTACCAAAAAACCTTCTAAAAGAAAATCTTTCGTCCAAAAATTCCACCAATTTATTTTTAATTCTTTCAAACTTAAAACAATATTTATCTTACCAAAGCACCCAATAATTATAATTAGTGCTAAACAATGGGTTAACTTGTAATATCCAAGTACTCGTTAAAAATCGTTATTTAATAAATTTAAAAAAGTTAAAGCATAGAAAAAATATTTTGTAGGCTTGAAATAATCTTTGATGGGTTGCTAGAATATTCGGAGTAGTTAGGATAGTCTTTTCATGCTCAATGAATAGTTTGTTGATTTTTCAATGCTTGAATAGTGACTTTTAGTGTAAAATAATTATTTTAAGCATGATGAATGTGCATAAAAAATTTTTTGTTCACATAGAATTTTTGCTAGAGGGGTTTTAGATAATTTGATGCTATTGGATGAATTTTCTATTACTATGTAATTATTTTATGTGAATTTTACTGTACATAAATAGTCTTTTTGAGGTAAATTAATTAATTAAGTGCTTTAAAGGTATAAGAAAATCTCCCAATGGCATATAAAAATCATTTAGGATGTGTAGGAATATTTTTATAAACTTAGGTGAATTTTTCTATGTATAAAGAATATTTTCTATAGGAAATAATATATTTTTATACAAAATAATTAATATAAAAGCCTAAATGAGTGTATAAAAATTATGTGAATGATGATTAAATTCTATTAGGAATTCTTTGAATATATTATGAAAATAAATTGAAATTTGGAAAGGTTTGGAATAAAATTTTAGACTTAGGGACCTAATTGCATGAAATTAGGGACCTCATTGCATAAAATTAAAACTTTAAACTTTTAAATTAAATTAGATATGAACTTTAAGAGTCAAAAATTTATTAGAAAACCTTTAAAGGAAAGGCTCAAAGTATTCAATTGAATAAAAGAGAGACTTACGAACAATAACCCCCTATGCCGACTTAACACATTAATTAAGCTTGATTTTTAGTTAATAGAAGATGAAGGAATTAATTGAAAAATGAGTGAATTAATTAAAGGTTGAATTAGAGGTTTAAGATATTTATTCTATTTTTTATTAATATTCTCATCATGCCTCGAAGAAAATGAAAATTTGTTCAAAAAATCTAGTCACTTGTAAAGACAATGAAATTATCAATCTCTACCCCGACAAAAGGCAACGTTGCATTCTGATCTATAAGCAAAAAAACTTCAACAACATCAACTTCAAATCAAAATGATAAAAAGCTATTAAAAGGACTTTACCAAAATCTTCTCATCACACCTACAAACATGAAAATTTACTAAAATTTGAATATTATATAAGAACATATGAATATATTTACTTAAAAATTAAATCTTTCATTCTTTCATGTGATTTTTACCTACAACAGGTGAAATATTTTTACCTTATTTATTGTGTATAAATCATTTTTACGATTATTATAACTATCATTACTATAACTATTACCACCACCTTCATTAGTGGTGGTGTTAAATTTTTTTTAAAATATTTTTATTATTATTTTGTCACTATTCTTCTTTAATCACCATCGTTATTTTTATTATACTATTACCAACACCATTAATGGTGATTAAAAAAAAATGGTATTGCTATTTTGTTACCACTTTTCTTTCACCACCGCTACGTTTATTATATCATCACTATCATCTGCTACCATCACTTTTCTTCTACTCGCTACTTCCAATGATGATAATATCAAATTTTTTTAAAATATATTATTGTTATTACTATACTGTTATTATTATTACATCATCATTATATTCCTCTTATTCTACCACTACCATTATTACAATCACCTTTATCATTTTTGCTATTATTATAATTGATAAAATTGTTATTGCTATTTTGTTCTCACTTTTCTTCTACCACCACTATCCACGTTTATTATATCACCATTACAATTGCTATCATCACTTTTCTTCTACTGCTACTTCCGATGATGACAATCTCAGATTTTTTCAAATATATTATTGTTATTACTATACTATTATTATTATTATTATTATTATTATTATTTCATCATTATGTTCTTCTTATTCTACTACCACCATTATCACAATCACCTTTATAATTTTTGTTATTATCATAATTAGTAAAATTATTTTTTTAATTATTATTTTTATTTGTATTAAAAATTAGATATTGAAAAATTTAAATTTTATTCCGATCATTTATTATTATTCTAAACACAATATAAATATATAAATACCACTTTGATTCTTTATTATTATTTCAAATGCAGAATAATAATATACATATTATTTCTATTTTTTAATTTTTATTCTGAATTTTTATTTTCGATAACGAAAACAACACTTAAAGGTCAGAGATTTTTCTTTGTTTGGCCAAAAATTCAAAATAATGTACAATCAATTAGCATTTTAATTTCATGACCAAAATACTCCATCGGACAGTTGTCAAGAAATTGAACGCAAAGCTTATCCAAGTCACCCAACTCGAAACAGTACGTGTACAAGTCAAGTAAGAAAAGACGAAGAGCCGAATGGGAGAAATAGAGTAATGCCCTCACTCCTCTCTGCATCATCCACGTTCACTCTGTTTCGTTCTCTCTCTAAAAAGGTCCTCTCTCCCGAATTAACAACTTTCTTCTTCACAAGAAAAGCCGTCTCCTATTTCGGTACCAAAACCACCATGTTCGTAAACCTACAATCCCATGCCTTTGCAGGCAATCCTCTAAGGTTTAAAACCCCCAAACCACACGACCCTTTATCCCCTGCCTTAGCCCTTGAAACCCTCAAAGCTCAACTTTTGGACGATATCCACCAACCATTTTCTCTTAATTTCAAGGTTCTACCCTATAGGAAGGGAAGCCCTTTGGCATCCTCAACTAGTACCGATGGTGATTTGGGGCCCAAGTGGCATCTGGGTTGGATCACTTTGGCTGATTGTAAAGCTTTATTTTCTGCTTCTGGGGTTGAATTGACCGGAGACAGTATGGTTTATCTGGGTTCAAGCTCTGAACAGGATGTTGTTTATTGGGCAATTGATGTCTCTGGTGAAAATAGTTTGGCCACTGAATTTGTTAGCAAGCAGTTTTGCTTCGTTGAGTTAAGAACACTTATGGTGGCTACAGATTGGGCTGATGAGCGGGCCATGGCTGATTTGGCTGTTGCTGGTCATGTAAGTTGATTTTGTTTTTCAATTATTTAATGCCTTAAATTTATATGCTTGATTCTAACGATGAGGTTTGGATCATTTTAAGTGCTTCGAGTTGAATGGTAACATAAATGTGAGCTTTCTAGTTGTCGATTTTTTTTTCTTTCATCTAATCTTTATAGTTTATATATATTTATTACGACTTTAGTTCGTGCAAAATTGTGGGTGCCATTTTTTCGATGGCTTGAATTTCCTGTGCTACATGAGACTTGAACATTTCAACTTTTTCCAAGCCATGGAAAAAGTTTCTTCATACTTGAAATTCAAGCCTCATGCAACCTAGCTAAAACTTTTACCTGAGCGGATCTCATTTGTATTCTCTAGAAGCTGTATTGCAACACGAGTATTTTGATGGATGACTAAGTGTAGACTAGTGATGTAATTTGGAACTGAGGTTTAATTGAGTTGAGCAGGCTACAAACATGTGCTTGTCCCAATTTTTCATATTTATTATCTTTATTATCTTTTAATTATTATTTCTTTCCGCTCATAGTTTTTTTTGTCTTTAATTTAAAATCTTAATAGAAAGGTCTCACTTGGCATGAAATTTTCTTCATCTCCTCCCTTATTTGTTCTTCATCTCTTCTGGATGAGAGTTGGGCCTGGGGGTGGGTGTTTCCATGAACTTGCTGTTGGAAGCCTCATGAGGTAAAAATGCCACATTCTCTTATTCTAATAGGTCAGGGTCCATGTCACCTTGTTAGCGTACTCGTATACAATTATGATATATATGCTGTATCGATGCACAAAGGGTTCCATATTTACCATTTTGTTCTTTATATTGGTTAGGCCAGAGCATTGATGGAGTGGCATAACATCTCGCGTTTTTGTGGATCTTGTGGAGAGAAAACTGTCCCCATGGAATCTGGGAGGCGGAAACAATGTTCAAATGAGTTGTGCAGAAGGAAATTTTATCCTCGTGTGGATCCGGTAAAGTGATTCTTATCCCTCTCTACTGTGAATGTTGTTTAAACCTCTAGTGGATGAATCGAGTGTGAGAATTACTGCTCTCTTACCACAGGTTGTCATCATGTTAGTTATTGACCGAGAAAATGATCGTGCCCTTTTAGGCAGACAGTCCAGATTTGTACCCCGAATGTGGAGTTGCTTAGCTGGTTTCCTAGAGGTTTGTGTCTCAGCCAGTTTCAATTTTTCCCAAAGCTAGAAGCAGTCCTTGTAAGCTGAAGAACAAGCATTTAATATATATGATATATACATACCCTCATGATTCTATCATAAGAAAGCATCTATTTTATTCTCTCCTGTACTTGAATTTTAATTTTTGTAATCTTCTATTGTCCTTAGCCTGGAGAAAGCTTAGAAGAGGCAGTGAGGAGAGAAACATGGGAAGAGACTGCCATTGAAGTAGGAGAAGTTATGTATCATAGCTCGCAGCCATGGCCTGGTATCACCTTTACTACTCTTGTTTGATTGCTTACTTCTTCAACTTTTTGCTTGAGTGTCATAGATCTTATTGGAAATGTAACAAAGGGGAGTATTTTGGTCTTTAATCAACAAAATTAGCAATTGCATTAATATTCCATTAATCATATAGTGGAGAACCAAAGATTAGCAATTTTTTATTTTTCTATATTTTTTTATGTTTTTATTTTGGTAGGTTTTAGCACCTTGAAGGCTAAAGTTTATCCATAACGAAATTCGGACTTCCTCTCTCTGTATCTGTGTGTGTGATAATTTTCCATTTAGTATATTGTGGGTTGCTATCCTGTCATTCATCATCTTTGGTTTCATCATTTCACTGTATATATGGAGTATTGGGCACAAAATGTAGAGTTTCTAAAATGACAACTTTGTGCTATTAATATGAGTAAAACAATGAGATGCATTTACTTTGGAATTTTTGTCTATAGAAAAATGTGGAACATACAATTGCATTATTAAACCAGACAACTTTTTCAAAATGGAAAAACTAGAAAACTTGTTTTGAAGTGTATTTTCCAATTGGAATATAAGGGATAAGTGAAAAAATAAAAAATAAATAAAATCCAATAAATGAAACAGTTTTCTGAAGTTTGAAAATTTTAGAAAACTATCAAATCAGTTTTCTAAGAAGTAGGAAAGCATAAAAATTGGTTTTCCGAAGTAATATTTACGTAATCATTTGTAAACAGATTTTCTAGTAGATTTCTGTTTCCTAGGAAAGTAAGAAAATAAAACAATTCTATGAGTAAAAATGAATTCCCTAAGCGTTTCATGCATAATCCACGAGAACTAGACTTTTCATCTAATTATGGTACTCGTTCACAAAATTGCCACTGTTTAGTGCAGTGGTAATGGTCTTTAGCTTGCAATCAAGATTGAGGTTCCTTATATTTTTTGATGTATTAAAATTTTCGTTTATCGAAAAAGTTTCTTAGCGTGAAAGAGAACTTAGAAAAAAACACTACATGAAATTGTACAACTATCAAATAATGAACCATTTACTAGTTACAAGAAACTTTGTTTCCTGCAAAGCTTGAGAGTATCTCACATCCATTGTAGCTTGAAGTAATCTGGGATTCTGTCCCAAACCAGTCGGGTTGGTTATATGGATTCTTTTGTGCCATTCTGCACAATCATAATCCAAATCCGTCTCAATATCAAGATAGTTTAAATCATTCAATACAACTTCCATCCATGTTATCTTTGGTGACCTCAGCCTCCTTTAACCACTTCTACTGTCAGCTTCTCATTTCTATGAATCAATGCTGACATGCCCAAACTATCTTAGATGTTCCTCTCTCATCTCTCTGAATCCAGCCCAACATGGCAAATCATTGTAAACATTCCTCAATCATATCTCTGAATCCAGTCCCAATATGAAGATAGTTTAAATCATCCAATACCACTTCCATCCACATTATCTTGGTGACCTTTGCCCCTTTTGACCGCTTCTACTGTCAGCTTCTCATTTCTATGAATCAATGCCGACATGCCCAAACCATCTTAGACATTCCTCTCTCATATCTCTGAATCCAGCCCAACATGGCAAACCATCGTAAGCATTCTTCTCATTTTTTTTTCCATTGAGCGCTACATGGACCTTTGGGATTGTGTTCATTTATAATTATTCGATACCAGTAATGTTGTTGGCCTAAAATTCACCAGTGTACATTTGGTCACATTGACCAAACAATTGGTCTAATTGAACCCTATATACTTCCCTTTTAGGGCAATTTGAAATCTTAGTGCAATTATGTAGTGACAGAGTGGATGGTTGACTAATTCCTTTAGTCAACTCCATTGTAATATAAATACTTTTGAAAATTTGTGAAAAAAAATATAAAAAGGAAATGAAATTATATCAAAAAGAAAAACTAGTATAAAGTTAATTAATCAATAACTAAAACTAAAACAAATTATATTATTTTACATTTTGTTTGTGCTCCACCACTCATGGAGTTGGATGGATTCTTAAATCTCTGGAAGTTTGAAATTTAAGGATTGGTTTGACCCAATTTTTTGTATAAAGCTCAATTGATCAAATGTCTATAGTTGAGAGACCACCGGTGTTTTATTTCTTTCCTTCCCTGGAGATCATAAATGTAAAAACATTAAACACCACACTATTTTTAGTAGCACAAAGATGAAGTACCTCCTGATGCAGGACAGCTTAGGGGCTGTTCTGGATCTGAGTTTGGAGGCTGTTTAGGGGTTTTTAGGTCTATATTTATGTGGATTTGTACTGGGAATTATAGAACTATTAGAGTCACACTAATAGGGTTTCTAGGAGTCACACCTAGAGGATAAAAAACCTAAGCTTCACACCTAGGGTTCTTAGGTGTTGCACCTAAGGGAGATTGAGTCACACAATCAAAAGCAAATTGCTGAAAATTATTTGATATTATTGCATTCAGAATATTGAAAGATTACATACTATATTTATAGAGTTGTAGAAGTCCAAATCCAATTAGGACAAGGATTCTTAAACCTCCAACATAACTATTCCTATTTAGAATAGGAAAACCTATAACTATTCCCATTATGGAATTGGAAAACCTAATAACTTCAGGACGATTTCCAGATTTCTTGCAAACCTAAAAACAACAACAACTAAAATTCCCTTGCATTCTATAATTTAAATAAAACACATAAATCTTAGTCTTTTGTCGTCCACATCATCCTCTCCAGCTTGGAGAAAATTTGACCTCAAGTTTTGAAATCACGTGATCGCATCCTCCTTATCGGCAAGGTCATCAGCCACATAAACCCCAAAATCAGAAGAATTTCCTGCTAAATCAGATTCTTGTTCTGCAGCTTCCTTTTCTTGTGCAAAGCCGACATGCAAATTTTTCTTTATAGGACATTGGTAACCAATATGTCCCTGTTCTCCACACTTAAAACAAACAAGTCCTTTGTTGTTTCTACCTTCGGTAGGGGCTATATTAGAAGACGGTATTGAACCATTAGGATGGTTGCAGGTTGTGAATGGATTGACATTCCTTCTTTACTCAAGTCAATGGCTGTCCTGTCATTCTTAGCATAGGAAGTGGTTGTAAATTTCATAGAAGTCTTCTTTGTAACTTCTTCCTCAATCTGAGCAGCAACTTGATCCGCATCAACCATTGTATAAAGCCTACAAGCAGCTAAACCAGAAGAAATTTGTAAATTCAGCCATTTTCGATACATAGATATCATGACATCTTCATTCCATGGAAATTCTGACCTTGTTGCTAAGCTGAAAAATTTCTTAGTGTACTCATCGACGCTTAAACTTTCTTGTGTCAATTGCGTAAATTGCAGGTGAACTTGTTGCTTGTAATTAGGTGGTACAAAATAACGGGTCATAGCAATCTTCATATCTTCCCAAGTTTGAATTTTAGCTTAATGACTTTTCTGAAATTTAGCTGTCCTTTTCAACTTGGCTTATGCAAAGTAAATTTTTTGCTCATCACCCAAGTGATGCCACTTAAAGAGGCTTTCCATACCATGTAGCCAATAAAGAAATACCTCCAGATCACTTTCTCCATGAAAATCACTAACATCAAGCTTAATACCTTTATTTATATCATTCATCCTTGAATTTTCTTGATATCGAGTTTGAGGAGGAAAAGAAGGATGAGTTTCTACCTTTTGTGTTAAAGATTGCAGTGATGAGTCTACTATAGGCTGTATTTGGTTAGGCATTGGCTGGTTGAAGTTTTGGGTGGCCACAACACCTTGATTTTGTGGAAAAGAGTTATCAGCTGTTGTAACAACAGGTTGCTTTCCTGGAACAATTTTTGAAAGTCTTTCGATTGATGCCTCTGTTGCTGCAAGTCTGGAATCAAATTTTCCTTCAATGTTATCCAACCTTTCATCCATAGATTTCTTGCTTGCTTCAGCTTTTAATTGAAAGGCTTCAAATTTTGTATTGACAGTCACCATGATTGAAGAACGTAGCAAAAACTTTTAGGATCTTGAAGCTTTGATACCAACTGATGCAGGACAGCCTAGGGGCTGTTCTGGATCTGAGTTTGGAGGCTGTTTAGGGGTGTTTAGGTCTGTATTGATGTGGATTTGTACCAGCTATCAGAGTCACACTAATAGGGTTTCTAGGAGTCATTCCTAAAGGATAAAAAACCTAAGCTTCACACCTAGGGTTCTTAGGAGTCATACCTAAGGGGGTTGAGTCACACAATCAAAAGCAAATTGCTAGAAATTATTTGATATTATTGCATTCTGAATATTGAAAGACTACTTAATATATTTATAGAGTTGTAGAAGTTCAAATCTAGTTAGAATAAGGATTCCTAAAGCTTCAACATAACTATTCCTGTTTTGGAATAGGAAAACCTAATAACTTTAGGACTAAGAAAATAAAATACTAAACAGAAATAAAGCCTACACCTAGACAATTTCCAGATTTCTAGCAAACCTAAGAAAAATACTAAAATACTCTTGCATTCTATAATTAAATAAAACACATAAATCTTAGTCTTTTTTTTGTCCACATCACCTTTTCTGCAGAAAAGTTGTCCCAATTGAATTCAGAAGTCAAATCCTCAATTTGTCTGCTTATTGTCAAAGCTACAATACACGCTGCCAGACATTTTTAGTAACTAAACATGTAAACAACGAATACTTATGATGCTTCGACACCTGGTTAAACAAGCAGAATTTATGTTTCTCCGCTTCTGAACCTGCTGGCCTTTGTTGTTGAACAATTCTGAATGGCAAGCTAGGTGCTTGGAAATTTGCAGTCTCCTTTAACATTTGTACCAATCAAATCTACCCCTTCTTTTGATCCCCAGGAACCTGTAGAGAATTGCCATTGAAATTCAACTTTCAAGAGACACTATCTTTGATAGTATGACAAGGACAGATATATAATACCCCAGAATCAGATTGTACGTTCAATGTAAACGGATGCCTAAGACTATCTCCAGAGCGCCCCCCCCCCCCCTTTTTGCCACACGTGATTAGTGTTTTGTACTTTTTACAGCTTCAATATGCCACCTGTTCTAGTTTACTTCTTGTTGCTCTCTTGACTTATTTGTTTACACATGCTGCTAACTTATTGTGCACCTCTTCTGGTTTCTTTTCAGTTGGTCCAAGCAGCATGCCATGCCAGTTGATGGTGGGTTTCTTTGCATATGCAAAATCACTTGAAATAAATGTAGAAAAGGCGGAGTTGGAAGGTAATTGAAACTTTAGAATTTGGTTGATCATCACCCACACCCCCCACACACACACCCCCACCACACCCCCCTGCCCCCTCCCCAAAAAAACCCCCTCTTTAGTATGCAAGAACTGTATCACAATAAGAAACTTTTTGCTAAAACTCTTGACACCGGTCCTGTGAAGATTAATGAAATCCTAAAACAACAACAAGCAACAACACCAACTAGCTGAATCCAACAATTCACGAATTCAACAATAAACTAAAACAAGAAATCCACCAGGCACCAATAATCACAAACAACAATCTAAAACCACAAGTTCCAAAACCAAACTAGCTAACCCTAGAGTCTAAAGTTGGCTGAAACTTACCAATTAACCAGGCGTTAGTTGATTTTGGCAAGGTTTAGAATCCCACTACAGCCTTAGCAAATAGCAATCAATAACACCATCTTGATTGATAAAGTCGATGATACAGAAACATGCTCCTATGACAAGCACAAGTATACGCAAATTTGGGAGAAAAAATTCCTCACGAGTTTATTCAATAATTGAGCAAAAGTCTTTTCTCCATATTACAGAAGGATGTTTAAATACTCATTCATAACGTTGGGCAACTAGGGCACCATAAGGTGTGGCAAATCCTTTTCTAAATGGACAAGGATATTTGACCCTAACCCTAAATAAACAAGGAAATAAAATTCCGAGGCCATTTGGCCACACCTAATTTAGTCCAATTCAAATTCAAGAAAACCTAATTAACCTAGTCCAAAGTAAATATGAACTCCTAAACATATATGGATCCAAAACAAATATGGACCAAAATAAACTCCATACATAAATAGGAATCCTTATGCAAACACGATAAATAAAGCAACTAAAAACAAAACATAATTAAAATAACCAAGGCTACAACTTTTGACCCATGCATGTCCAACTATCCTAGGATTTTTGGCCTCATGGTATTGGGCAATCACACCCATGTCAACTCTAGAGCAATAGGAGTAGCCAAATTTTTACCTTCAGGTTGGCTTAAGTTCCACATCTCTCGAATTTAGATGTGACAAAGGTTTGAACACCTTAATTGTAAAAAGGGGAAAGAAAAGCAATAGTAAGGTTAACAACAATCGCCAACAAATAAAACTAATCTCAGTGAATCTACCAAACATCTTGATAGCAACTAAATTTATACTTTCACCAAGTTGATATGATTTCCAATGGAAAAGGTGGTGATAATATGCACAAATTGGAAAGAAAGAAACAATGAGGATGTATCCTGCTATACACATTTATTGGTCTCTCTCATCTCTTTGTGTTTTTGTGATAATACAACTTATTGTTGCTCAATTGGCATAATAGGCATTATAAAATCATTAATGAACTATTGTTTGTTTTAATTTTGAATTGTGATACCATTTGTGATGGGGATTTTGCATTAATTTGGAGTGAGAGCAATTCAACCAAGATTGTTCTCTTTCTTGATCATGTATCCTTTGCTTTTCACTATCTATTTTCTTCCCCGAATTTCTCTGTGAGTTCAGGTAAGGTCCACCTAGGTTTTCTTGTTCTTTCATAAGCCAAAAGAAAAGAAATCAAAAGTAAAAAAGAGTTGAAGGACCCGTCCTTGCAAGGCTTGGTTGGTGCCTCCAAAGAAGTACTACAAGTATATAGACCAAAGGAGCCGGTGGTTAGCAACTTAGTAGTATATTTAAAACAAAAATGATGAATCTCACAACTAGTTTTATTATTGAACATCATGGTACTAGTGGTAATGTCAAAACCAAATTCTGTCCCAATCGTCTTGGCTATTTACCTATTAATGAATCTGAGGTCCACTATCAAATAATCAAGACTTGACCAATTAACTATTCCTTGGATGCAAAACAATATTGGCTATTGGCAATTTCAGAAATCAGATTATTCGGTTTATTGCTGTGGTTTACGGTAACCTATATTTATTGATAAAATTTACAGTGATTTGAAAAAAGTAAATTTGGGCTGTTTGATAAAAAAAAAAACAATTTCTATTAATGTTTTATATGGTCAATCTTTGAAATTCATAGAAAATATGATTATTATTGGAGAAGTAGAGTTCTTTAGGTTTGAAGAAATGAGCCAAGTTAAATTTTATTGGCCTTGTTCTCACAAATTCTTTATCTCATCGAAAAGGATATGTTATGTGAAATAATTAGTGAATATGTGTAGTTTGAGGATGTATTCATGTTTAAGGAGTTAGCTGCGTTTGAATTTCCATATGTAAGACATGCTATTCCAGATTTATTTGGACTGAACAGCACTTGTGTCATGAAAATTGTTGTATGATGTATATTCGATTTGCTTACATAAATTGAGTTATGAACGTAGTATGATAATATGAGCCTTATTGACACCATTTATCCTCAAAATGAAAGTCGAATCATCACAACATGCAATTAATCAAGCTCCATTGGCTAGAACCACTGAGGTCTACAAAATCATAGAACTTGTTTATTTCGAAACCCAGGTCCAAACTTCTTAAACCTATTACTCTGAACTTGGAGCAAATTTAGACAAAATCAATGCTAAACTTGACTAGTTAATAATGGATGATGGGCATCCTATGAAGCAAGAGGTGACAAATTATAGAGCTAGTTGATGAATGAAATGAAGATATAATTGGAGAACACTTGTTAGGGGAAATAGAGATTGTGAAGAGCCTAGATGGGCTTAACCTTGTGGGTGAAGAAGTCAAAACAATGGATCTCGTAAAATAAATGGACGTGCTATGAATTGAAGATTCTGTCATCGAAGAGTCCAAAGAAAAGGTTGATCACATTGACTTTGTTTTTCCCTCCAAATTCAATATTGTAGGTGACAAGACTATCGTATTGTCTCCATTACTCTCTTAATTGAAGAAGAATAGAGATATCAATTGCAAACATTATTCTTCAAGCTCTGGAGTACATGCAAGTTCATGGAGCAATAATTATTGCGTGTCCCACCTTTGTGAAGTATGTGTAAGTGTATGGAGTTTTTGCTACTTCAACTCTTTAAAACTCAAGGTTGAGTTTTTTTTCCAACCAAGGAAGAATGATGGGAATGAAGAAAGACAAAAATGGGATTATTATTTGACTATTTAGGAATTTTAGATATATACAAATTGTATAATTGATCTAGATTTTAATTATTTTTAGGAATATTAGTATTTCTTATTTACTAATTAAATTAGAATTTTGTTCCTCATCACATCAGTACTATTGTTAGGTTTTCCTATTTTATTTATTTAGATGTTTATAAATAAACACTCTATGCAGACATTTAGGATTTAGCTTAATCTTGTTTTTCTCTCATAGAGTCTATCTTGTTTTGCTAATCTTGTTCATCGCTCTACACAATGCTGTGGAAGGATTTATTGTAATTTGATATAATCATAATTTTAGTACTTGAGCTTTTGAAAATTTTCTATCTGAGTTCCTCTACTCATTTTTTTCTGTTTGTGTTTGTGTGTTTTTAAGAACAATCAATCAAGGACCTCTCTTCAGAAAATCGAGAGTAATGTTACATGAGTAATCAAAAGGGTATTTTCGAAGTAGATTTACTTGCTCAATCATTTTGAAAATGCACAAGAACTCAAATGGAAAAAGTTAAAAAGTAGGGGAACTTAAATATAATTTTTTATGAAGGACAAGCACCGAACTTATGGTTTTCTCATTTTGATTCAATGTTTCGTTACTTACTGCTTCTTAGACTAATTCAATCATGTTGGATTAATTTTAATTCCATGTTTTTCTTGTTACTTCTATACTGATTCAATAATGTCTGGTTTTCTCATGTTTTGGTTGATGCTGAAAGTTCCATTTCTTGTTATATTTTCTGTCCATGTGTTACAGGTATGTCACATTTACAGATGCCTGATAAGTAGTTATTTACCTTTTATGTTATGACTAGAGGAAACATGAACATTTTCCTTTACAGTCTTATGTTACTTACCCTCATTCGGGAAACCTACTCTTCATGTAACTCTATGTTAGAGCCTGACTTTTACAAGATAGACTCTTCGGAGCAGTGAGTCTCCAAATTCTGTTTGAGAATTAGCTACAATCCACATTTGATTAGTTGTTGTGCATTGCAGTTACTGCTCCGAGCTTTGATTTAATAGAACTGGTTGCTTTATTTTATAGTTGGGTTTGTCTGCTGGAGACATAGCATGGGGCTCATATTGAATTTTTTAATCATATAGATGCTCAATGGCACAGTAGAGAAGATGTCCAAAAAGCATTAGTGTTTGCAGAATACATTAAAGCACAAAGAACAGCAGCGGCCAAGGTAGACCAGATGTGCAAAGGGGTTGAGAAAGGACAAAGTTTCTCATCAGATTTTAATGTGGAAAGTGGGGAACTTGCTCCGATGTTTTTCCCTGGACCCTTTGCAATTGCTCATCACCTAATCACTTCTTGGGTAAATCAAGGTTCAACATTTGATGCAGTGCAACTGAAACAAGAACCAAGTAGTTCTCTGTCAAATTTGTAACAGTCCCAACCCTTTCGAAGGTTAAAAACTTCACTCTTGCTGGAAGGCTATATTGAACTTCACCATTCTCCTGTTTCTGAAGAGGTTAGAGACAGTATTGAATTCTAATATGTTCTGTATTCCAATTGTTGCAATAATCATTCAAAAAGAAGGGAAACGACATTCTTTGTTTTTTCGGGGAGATCGCTTTCTAAAAAACATTTGTTGAGTGTAATCAACTAGAATTTTCTATTTAATCTTGATGTAGACTGGACTCTGTAATTGTGTTAGGTGCGGTTAGATGTGGAAGCCAGATTTACACCGTACCTACTGGGATAATATTGCAACGAAGAACTAATCCATTGGTAATTGGGGCAGCAGCCCTTACGATTCATCTAGCTATGTGCGTATGTGTTATACTCATTCCCAGCCCAATTCTAACGTTCATTACGGCAGGCTCCAAAATTCCTTAAGGCATTTTTTGGACAATTGCATTATTTTCAATGGATAATTGCGTTATGAAGTATTTGTATTTTATAATTTGTTCTATTTAAGTACTTGTATTTGAAAATTTGATTAATCAAGTATGCTTGTTAGTTTCTCTTACAAATATATTTGATGTGACAATTACTTCTCTGTTAAATGAACCCAAGTATCAGAATTTGACAGAGATAAACAGCATATTTAGTACATGATCTCTAAAATTTGAGTGCTTGTACTTAATAGGAAAAAAAATTGTACTAATTTTGTCACCTTTCATCATTTTTGTTTTCTCGTCAAGAAATTAAAAATAACAAAAACTTAAAACGAAGTTTAGCACAAGCACCTTTCTTTACCTCATATCCTATCTAAGTGCAGATCTTTTACGGCATCAAGTTTCTCCCTTTACAAGAGCCTTCATGGTCAACTTAAAAGAAGTCTTCTAAGAATCAAGAGAAGCCATGCACTACTTTGTAATAAGTAGGAGTGCTACTTCTTCCTTTATTTCTTGGTCAACCATTATTTTCTTTTCTTTTCTTTTCTTTGTCTTTTGTGTTCCTTTACTTAATTAAACAAAAAATCATGCTTTTTCTTGTGAAATTATGTTACATGAGACCACTTCTAAATGAAAGTTGCGGGGTCTTTGACTCACTAAGTACTAAGATGTAAATAGAAGTTGTGGCACGAAATCTTGGTTTGTCAAAGTATTTTTGGAGTTGATTTTGACTTTTTATTTTTTAACGAATAAGAATGCAAATAGATTTCTTTTTAAGGATGTCTTCAAATTTGTTGTCGACGGGGGTTGCGGGAGGCAATGCGAGAACATGAGTCGTCACTATCTAATTGGAGAGAACTAGAAAACTATAAACAAATTGATCTATATAGATATCTAGGTAAGGGATTGGTTACGTACGAGGAAGATTTAATATCACTACTATCCCGTTCTACCTAAGGTAAGGTCCGTATTGAATGCATGCAAAATAAAAATCTGATTTTATTATTTGTTATATTTCTATGTCTATTTGATTGAATTTGTTTTGTTAGGATGAGATAACAGAGTGATTCAAGATTTAGGTCGGTCCAAGACTAATACCTATACTCAAAAGGGAAAGGTAAACTAACAAGTAAGTGAGTTTCTAAAGATTACTAGCCTTTACCGATATGAACAAGTGTGTCATCGACAACTTCACTCACATAAGTGAGAAGCTATCGTCGAGTTTAGATCATGAGTTTAAGAAGCTTTCGACAACTCTATCACATAAGTGAAAAGCCCTCAACAACTCCATTTTGCTCGAACAAGGAGCGGATAACCGATGTGAAAGCCACTAGCAACTTGTCACATAAGTAAGAAGTCGTTGACAACTTCATTTTCGACAAACGAGAAAATAGGAAAAATGATTTCAAAACCACCGGCTATTTTGTTACATAGGTGGAAAGCCACCAATAACTTCATTTGAGTAATCGAAAATCAAATAAAAATGGTTTGGGAGCTATTAGCAGCCTTCATCCATGTAGGTAGGAAGCCACCAATGACCTCTTTTCTAATGAGGAGAAAACATGTAAAATGATTTCAAAACCACTAGTAGCTTCATCATATAAGTGAAAAGCCATCAACGACTTCATTTCAAGCAATAAAAAATCAAATAAAAATGGCTTCGGGGGCCACTAACGGCTTCGTCCACATCGATGGCCTTTTTTTCAACGAGTAGAAAACACGTAAAATGACTTCAAAACCACTGAAGCTTTTTCATATAAGTGAAAAGCCATCAACAACTTCATTTTAGCAATCAAAAATCAAATAAAAATGGTTTGTGAGCCACTATCGACTTCGTACACATAGGTAAGAAGCCATAAGTGGCTTCTTTTTGACGAGCATAAAACATATAAAATGACTTCAAAATCATTAGAAGCTTCATCGGTTAAGTAAAAAGCCACCAAAGACTTCGGATCATGAGTTTAAAAAGCTTTCAACAACTTCATCACATAAGTGGAAAGCCACTAATAACTCCATTTTGCTCGAACAAAGAGAGATAACCGATTTGAAAGCCACTACTAGCAACTTGTCACATAAGTAGAAAGTCATCGATAATTTTATTTTCGATGAATATAAAACAGGTAAAATGATTTCAAAACCATTAGCAACTTTATCACATAAGTGAAAAGCCACCAACAACTTCATTTGAGTAATCGAAATCAAATAATAATGGTTTGAGAGCCACTAGTAGCTTTGTCCACATAGGTGCGAAGCCACCAATGACCTCTTTTCTAATGAGCATAAAACATGTAAAATGATTTCAAAATCATTGGTAGCTTTATCACATAAGTGAAAATCTACCAACGACTTCATTTCAACAATAAAAAAATCAAATAAAATGATTTTACGGGCCATTAATGGCTTCGTCCACATCAACAGGAAGCCATCGATGACCTCTTTTTCAATGATTGAAAAACATGTAAACCGACTTCAAAACCATCGAAGTTTTTTCATATAAGTGGAAAGCCACTAACAACTTTATTTTAGCAATAAAAAATTAAATAAAAATGGTTTAAGGCCCACTAGCAGACTTCGTGCACATAGGTGGACAATCGCCGGTGACTTCTTTTTTGATCGCGAGAAAACATGTAAAATGACTTCGAACTTGCTAGCGAGCTTCATTAGATAAGTGGAAAGCCACAAAGACTTTATTTTAGTAATTAGAAATCAAATAAAATGATTTAGAGGCCATTATCGACTTTGTTCATATAAAAGGGAATCCATCGATGGCCTCATTTCTAACGAGTAAAAAACATGTAAAATGATTATGAAATCATTGATAGTTTCCCGATACAAGTGAGAAGCCACCAAACATTTAATTTTAGTAATCAAAAATCAAATAAAATGATTTGAGGGCCACTAGCGACTTTGTCCACATAAGTGGAAAGCCATCGGTGGCCTCTTTTCTAATAGGCAAAAAACATGTAAAATGACATCGAAACAACTAGAAGCTTTTTCACATAAATAAAAAGCCATCAACAACTTTATTTCAATAATTAGTAATCAAATAAAAATGATTTGGGGGCCACCGTGACTTCGTCCACATAGGTGGAAAGCTACGAGTGGCCTTTTCTTGACTAGTAGAAAACATATAAAATCATCTCAAGTATAATAAAATAAAGTATTTAATAATTCAATCACTCACAACATGATATTTTCATTTATTATTTAAAGAAAATATGTATAAGTTCGAATGTTATCCAAAATATTTTGAAAGATTATGAATTTATCCAATGATCCGATCCACGGTCAATTCCACTCTCTTCATCCTCGATGATAACCGATTGCTTAGTTAGTCGGAGAAAAAAGCGAGTTGTCTATTGCCCAAGTTACTACCGTTGTCAAAGTTACTAGAACTTAGGGGGATTTAGCGAAATGGAGTTGCCCCGTTGTCCCCGCCATAAATAAATAAAGAATACAATCTATAATATCATGTAGTTCCCGCTAAACTCAACAATCTAAACAATAATTTTTTTTAAATGTTTTTGTTGTTCCGTTATATCTAATAATTAAAACAAACTCCTTTTTATTATTAACATAATAACACATATTTTACATAGTTTGGTTATGTTCTATCCAAGATTCAAACTACGGAGATAGGTGTTTCTTAGCCAAAAAGTGAGGGAGGAGAGACTAGCTGGCTGTGTTAATATGGTTTGATTGGATTAGTTGGAGAGGGATGGTCATAGCCAAAGAGGAGAATAGGGAGGCTGGTTCATCTAGATGAGAAGGAATATATGGTTAGTTCGACTTGGATGAGGAGGAGAAGGGTTGCTCATAGACAAAAAGGAGAAAGTGGTCGGTCATGGTCGGATGAGGAGAAGAATGCGTTGGTTTAGGCTGGATGAGAAGGAGAAGGGTTACTTACGGATAAGGAGGATAAATGGCTGGTCATGGATGGATGAAGAGGAAGAGAGGGGCTACTCACGAATAAGAAGAATAGGGGGTTGATCGATGGTGTTGTTTGGCCAAGAAAGAGTAGAGGCTAACTGCTTTGGCTAAATGGGAGAAGGATTGATTGATGGTGGCATTCAAGCTGGAATTGAAGGAGGAGATGATAGGCTGGTTGGTGATGATGTCGAGTTGGAATGAGAGGAGGAGATAGTGGGTTGGTTGGTGTTGGCATTAAGTTAAGTAAAAGAGGTAGAGGTTATATCGAAGGAAAAATAGAGTGGGATGGTTCGGCTATAAGGTTTTTTAAAGGAGACAATGAGTAGTTATTGATATAAAAATTGAGAGAGGGTGGGTATTTATAGGGGAAATTAAGGCTTTTTTGAGTAAATATTAATTTTGGTCCTTAATTCCCCCTAACTCATCAATTTAAATGCAATTTTAATTGTTTGAACTTCAATGGTACTCTTAGATTTCTGTTAATCAAGACCTTTTTCTTTAAATTTCTTTCAATTATACCATTTTTTTCTTTTATTTAAAGGTTTTAGGTTTTTAAGCTTTTAACTTGTACTCTTAATTGGATTTTTCTTGGTTTTCAAACTTTCTATTTCTTTTA